AATCAGTCCCTTAGTGGATTTAGAGTAAAATCATATGAGGGAATGAATTTGAAAGGCCTGATAATATAACAAATTGTCTGTTTCTCTTTGAGGTAGGTCTTTTTCTTTGAATATGATAATGAAATATCCTGTGTAGGGAGTGGATCCTGTGGATAAATATTGATGGCTGCAAATAATTTATCTTTGAAACACCACGGAGCGTGACAGCGAGTTCAGCTTGGTTGGTGGCATTTGTGCCTTTAAAAAATGGGGAGAGATTTCTGTCAGGCAACAGCTCTGTGATGTTTCTTATTGTCATCAAAACCTGTAAAACACCTGTAAATTCTGTACCTTTTTAAAAATCAGTCTCATCAAAGCCAGCCAGTTCTTTAATGTTGCCTGGGCTGTGTGGTGGCAGAGTGTGTGCAGCCAGGCCAGTGGCTTATGGCAAACCAAAAACCCCAACACTTCCAGCATCAAAAAATCCCCACTTTGGAGCAAAGCTGAAATCCACATCAGCGTGGCCCAAGAATTCCAAAGCCGTGCAGAGCTGCCTAATTGACAGTGGGCACTTTGGAGGGAGCCCCAGTGAAGTGGAAGAATTGCAAACAGCTGGCTTGTCAGTGAAATAACGTAATAATCACGGTATTGACTGGCAGATGGAGCTGTGTCATGGGGATCTTTGGCTCTGAGAAACACCATTTTAATACAGGGATTTGAATACTCCTATTTAAGGAGCCCACAGTGGATTAGCAGCAAATGAAAAGGATATGATATTGAAAAAGTGTGGTGTGCTCACTAAATTTGTCCAAGTAATTAAAATAGGTTCGGGAATACAAAGATAAGAATGGGAGTGATATTTTCAGGATTTCTTCTCTACTATGATTTTAATAATTGGATGTTGATGTAGCTTTGGACTTCAATATCCCTAATTTTTAAAAATATAGTACCTTTTTCTTTGAACTTGGTATGGCAGTTAAAAATATCACCACCATTTGTTTGTTGTGTTCTAATCCAAATCTGAATCCAAGTATCAGGAAATGGTGTTTTTCTAATTTGAAGTGGACACCTGAACTCTTCTACCCCCTTTAATTCTTTTCTGAGATCATCTCAAGGAAGAAATAACAAGTTCTGTGATAAGGTAAAGGGAAATTCTTGCTCAGGTGGGACCAGATGGAGCCTTGTGTTTAAAGAACAGATTTAGATTCTACCTTCACATCCTGCTCCATTGGGTGGTTACAGTTTTTATATTCTCTCTACTTTTCAAGGTGTGATTTGACAGCTGCTAAATGAAGATGATAATGAACAGCGCTAATATTTAAATGACACCATTAATATTTGGTGTATTGGGCAAAAAGTCAGGTATAGTTGAGTGTACAGAAAGCCAGATGAAGAAAAGCAAGTTTAAACTTTTTTCCCCTCCTCCCCTCCATCTTGTCCATCTGGGCCATTTGCCTTCCTAGTTGGGAAGTCAACAGCACAGACAGCAATGCATTCTCTTGAAAGCTGGGAAAATGGCTTGGCAAGCTTCGTGTTACCTTCTGTTAAACAATTTGATTTGTTCTCAATTTTTTTAATTTATTTTTTTTTAACCGCCTTGAAAGCGTGAGCGAGTGCTGGATCCCATGAAAGGTCCCTTAGACTTGGGCTGCTCTCTTCAGCCTTCTGCACTTCTGTGTTTCCTCAGGCTGGAACACTCTGCTTTCATAAATGCCTTTGGTTGCTAGAAAGTGCCTCTTGCTCCTGTTCTGTGCATTGCTGTTGCCATAGTATCCCTATCAGAGCTATGGCACAAATGACAGGCAACGTACAGCAATGCCTTTATAAATAGGATTCTGGGAGAACAACACTTTCCTCACAACATCAGATATTCTACTCCATATCCAAGCAGCAAACTTGTGTCACGTTGGGATATTTATTTTTTTTTCTCCTTAAAGGCCTACAGCTCTGGAATAGAGCTTCAAAAATGTTGCTGGGCTTATTTTGAAAGAAAGAAAACTATTTTAAAAAACAGTGTATTGTACAGAAGTTCAAGCATTGTGAATCATTGTTGGTTGTTTTTTCCTGCTAAACTAACACTGTCTTACATGTCTATACCCTTTAGTCAGTCAGGACAATCTGTGACAGCAAAAGACACCACAAAAAACCACGTTAGCATGTATCTGGTGTGGTTTATAACTGTGCTCTGCTGTTTTTTCATGCTTTAAAGAGTTTTCTTTACTATGACACAAAAAGGATTTCAATAAAATGATTCAAACTTGGTTTAAAGTAAGTAAAAATATGCATAATAATGTTATGCCAAGTTCCACCCTGCAGTTTTCCTTATAAAACTCTTTGAGTCCTGCTGGTGTTATTTTACAATCCCTGGAAACTCGACTGCAGATGAAACTGGGGGTACAGGTTTAGAATTTAGTTTGAATATAAAGTATCTCCTGGTATGATCTCAACTTTCAGAACGGATTCAGGAATATTGTTGATGAACTCTTTAGATTGTCAGATTTATGTACTCATCCTCATATTGCTTTGCAAAAAAAAAGAAACAAACAAACAAAAAACCCACCTATTTTTTAATGTATTTATTTGGAAGATTTATATACCTGTTTATACAATATTTTTATATGTTTATCATTTTTAAGCAATGCAACAGTATTGGCATAGAAGAATATGGGATAGGGGCTAGAATTTGGTTTATATTTATGGATGGTGTTGGTTTTTTTCATTTCCTCCCCTCAGAAATGTAAATTTGAGATATTATTCTATCAGAATTTGAAGGGTTTTTTACCCCTGCTGTGTTATTTTTCATTTTAATTTGTAATAGAGAGGAAGAAGTGGAAAATTTTTTCCTTGTAATATGCACAAAACATGCAACTATTCTGATTTTTCTTTTTTTTTTTTTTGTGGTAGCATTTAAATATCAACTTTTCACTGTAACCCATACGCTTTTATTGGTGTTTTCCATAGGAAACAATGTAAATTTATTTATTTCAGTAATAATGGATACAATGATGTGCTTTCCTGAAATAAGGGTGCTCTGCAGGTGGAATGTACGTGGATAATTACTTCAGTGGGGTGACGATTGCTGGATCTGCATTTAAAGAAATATAAGACAATTAATAAATAAAATTATAAGAGCCAAACTAATACACTTGTACACCATCACCAAGTCATTCATTAGGCTCACACTGCTACCATGGCATTACCATAATGGTAATCAGGAGCTGCTGATGACTTCTTCCTTATTTGCATATTTAGAATATGATATGATAATGGCTTATAGAAAGCTGTTGGTCCTGCACTGTTGCTTCCCTCTTCACCCCTGCTTGGTGCTGCTCTGGGTGTTGTGAAGCCCTGAAGCCCAGGGATAAATCAGGAAATTCCTGAAATGCCATCCCCTTCTCCCCCCTTCTCAGCAATCTCCTCCAGATCCATGGAATTACTCAGGAAGCAAAGCCTTTTTCCATAAGTGGGGACTTGCAGCATTTTCATTCCATGTACAATCATGGAAATTGTATCATTTTCTCCTTCTGTATAATCACGAAGCCAGAAGATGCTGTCCAGTCAAATGGTGCTGATGTGGGGATCCACCTTGCAGATGGAGCTGGAATGTTCTTTGTCTGTCACTTGCTTCCAAGCCAAAGCAGTTCACAGTGTTTAAATGGAATAACAATATTAATTGTTCCTAACCTGTTTCACTGCAAAATCAGAGGGTTTACTGTAAATTACCCTGCAAGTGGCACTGCTGAAAGGCAGTAACTAACGGGCAATTACTGGCATCAGTAATTTCTTCAACCACTGCAGCTTGATCTGCAGAAGTAAATCAATCTATGCTGTGACAGGGAGAATAAAATGAGTAGAGACAGGAAACAAAATTACACTTTTACCTGCACAGTGAAGAGAATGGAGCTGTGTTAGCACAGGTATATTTGAAACAGATGCTAACCCAATGGGAGCTAAGATTTCATTTACGAGAAAAATCACTTTACATGGAACTCCTGAACATTTACCTTAGAGAAATGCTATCCTAGCAGATCCTAAATTCTGGGCTGGCAGAAATTATGTAAAGATTAGGCAAATATTCAATATATGGAGTTCAAGAGAGTGATTTAGTTCTTAAAAATTCTAGTCTGGAGGCTCTATGCAGCTACACAGATATCTGTGTGTACCTGTAAGTCCTCCTATTCCACTTCCACCTTTCTTGAGGTTGTTAGCAACCTCAAGGAGGGAATGTATTGTTATTTGGAAACCAGCTTGGAAAGTTTTTCCTCTGTGCAGAACAAGTTTGTATCTCCCTTTAAAGGTATTGGTGTTCCAGAGTGATATGAAGAGGCATCACAAAATTTAAAATTATATGAAATTTCTTACAGTTCACTAGACAGATTTCCACACATTGTTGGCTGAAGTTCACCAGACTCCATTTACATAATAACATTTTCTTGCCAGTTTAAGTTCCTGAATTAAAAATATCCAGATTTCTTTGTTGTTGTTAACAAACATTACATAATTTTGTCAGTGAAAAACTTGTGGGGAGAATTAAGACAAGTGTTCTTCTATCCCCATATTTAAGCAAGAGGTATAAAAAGATCTGGTTTTCAGCAGATGGTTGCTTGCAAACTTCTTGCCTACTTTTTTCTTAGGAAACAAAAAAACTAAGTGAGGACAATGTGGCAGAGAGATCAAAGGAAGAGATTTTCCTAAGGAGCAAAGGAAAATCTCACGATGGTAATGGGGGATTCCTGTACTTATTTCTTCATTCAATATGATCCAGCCCTAAAATTCTTACCTCAGTATTTAGTTAAAAATTTCAAGTAAAAAGTTTTGCAAGGAATTTTATACATATTTAGGAAGGATTGAGTCCAATGTGACTTTACTAATGGGGCTTTCAAACGTGTTGTAGGAAAGGAGCTCCTTTAGCTCTCTGTTGCTTTAGGAACACAACATTCTGTGACTTTTAAAGGATTTTCCTTTCCCTTTCCCCAGCTACTCCTGGTGTTCTACACGAATACTCATTAGTCATTCTGGAGATGGACTTGCTGTCTGGAACCTACCTCTTGGCAGTCTTGTTGGCCTGCATCGTGTTCCAATCTGGCGCACAGGAGAAGAATTACACCGTGCGGGAAGAACTGCCTGAAAATGTGCTCATTGGCAACCTGCTCAAGGATCTCAACCTAACGCTGGACCCCGACGTGCCCCTGTCCTCCCCGCTGCAGTTCAAGCTCGTGTACAAGACTGGGGATGTGCCCCTGGTGAGGGTGGAGGAGAACACCGGGGAGATCTTCACGGCTGCCAACCGCATCGACCGCGAGAAGCTGTGCGCCGGCATCCTCAGCGAGAACCGCTGCTTCTACGAGGTGGAGGTGGCTGTTCTGCCAGACGAGGTGTTCAGACTGGTCAAGATCAGATTCCTAATCGAGGATATAAATGACAACGCTCCCCTTTTCCCCTCGACAGTTATTAACATCTCTATCCCTGAGAACACAGCCATTAATTCCCGCTACTCCGTCCCTTCTGCCATCGACCCGGACATCGGCGTCAACGGTATCCAGCATTATGAGCTCCTCAAGGTGGGTTTCTTTCATCCTTCTCTGTTGCTGTCTGTGTTACTGTCCTCCCACAAGTGTTGCCAGTCCTCACCAGCCCATCAGAAAGCCAAAGCTGTGTGTTGCAAGCAGAAAGCCAAGAGGGTGAGCTGCAGCTGTGGTACAGTGCAGGTCCGTGTCAGGATGTGAATCTGCAGCCCCGAGTGCATCCCGGTGCATCACAGCCTCACTCTGTGGGGAGCTGCACGTGCACTTGTGTAACTGTGTGACAGTGGGATGAAACATCCACATCTCCACCAGCTCTGCACCAGCATCCAAAGTGCTTGTGTGCTTTGGCTGCCAGTCTTCCTGGACCATTACAAATGTAATTAGTGAAGTCCTTATTGCCACTGACACGACAGTGCCGAGTGCAGAAGTGTTTTGTGCTGAGTTTATGTCTCCTGTTTTTATGGAGGCATTTTTTTCGTATCTCTCTTGCACCACTTTTGGACTTGAGCAGTAGAACTTGTCCCAGATGTTGATGTGATGCTCACCTGTGCATGGATGAGCTGTTCCAGAGGGAAGGAGTCCTTTTGTCAGAGCAGCTCTGTAATGGCTGGGCAGGAGCAGCTCCAAGATGTGCAAGAATGCAAGGAGAGCAGTGCCAGGGACCTTGTAAGAGCAGATATTTCATATTCTTGCTTCTCTTATGCTTCCTAGCGAGTAACAGGGGAACAGAAGAATAACATAAATGTGATGTTTACATAAACAAGAGTGTGACTGCTAAATAAATGATCACTTTTGTTTGATTTTACTGAAACAAAATTAAGAACAGGAAAGAAACTTACCCTGAAACTGTTGGGGGAAGCTGAAATTGCCCTCACTTCTTTTGATTTCTAATAGGGAACTATTTTTGTTTTGGCTGCTCAGCAATCAGTCTGACCCTCCTTACTGCCAGAAGAATATAGATTATATTATCCAATATATCTTGACTGTCTGGATAGCTGATATTCATTGATATCAGTACTTACTAGCAATTTAATAAAAATAAAACTCTGCCTCCTTTTAGCTCTTTTAAATTGCTCAGAAGCTGAAGTAATTGTGGCAGTGTGGGTGCTGAGGAGTGACAAAGACTTAAAAATCTCTTTTGGGAAACTGCATCCCACTGGGCATTTCTGGCTAGCTAGCAAAAAAAAATGTATTAAAAAAAAAAGAAGATGCCACATATATCTGTCTGCTCTCAGTGCAGCCAAAGAACTTATAACTTTCTAAGAACTTAATGTAAAGTCTGAAGATGTTGTAGTAAGCTCTTTAAAACTTTTCCTAGGTTACAGGAGAGTAGGTATACCTACATGTGTTGGTTTTGGGTTTTTTTTTAGCTAGCTAAGCAGAAGCATCCACTGGGACAGAGTGTTCTTTGTGTGGCATATTAAATGAGATTTTGGGGACTGAATAACAGCATATTAAATAAATAACAGTAGGAGTAGGAGATAATGAAAAAGCCAGGGTTACACACAAAATGGGGCAAAATAATACCCGGTCTGAACAGAGAAATGTGAGTTATCCGAGAGAAAAGTGCTGTTATTGTAGGAAAACTGTAGGAAATGGCAAAATCAGGAGTCCCTGTGCCTGATGAGCAACAGTTCAGATCACCACAATAGCAGTCCTGCTTGCTGAGCTTATTTCTGCCTGTGCATTCAGGGGGAGAATGGAGCGGGTGAGCAGAGTGGGAGCAGGTTTGTGTCACACCAGTGGGAGCTGAAATCCAGCCTGCAGCTGCAGGGCAACATGAGAGCGTCTGCCTGAGAGGTTTGTCACCAAGAAATGTGCAAAGAACTTTCACATATCAAATCAGTTCATTTAAATTGTTTAATTTGTAGTTAGGGGGAGAAAGAATGAAGAAGGACCTGTTGAATGGTTATCAGGTGGCTCTGAAAAACTGCTTTTGCCACATAATGGCAATAAAGGTGGTTCAGCACACACTGGTTTGGACTGGAAGTTTTGAAATCCTGTGCTGCATGTGCTTCACACAAAATTATTTGTGAAATCACAGCCCTGTAGGCAGATCTGAAAGCATTAATTGTGTTTTTCCCATGAATGCCTGTTGCTCAGGAGGTTTTTTGAATTATGGATCTGCTCCCTTTAAATGAGCAATTTCCCATACTTTGGAAATGATCTGTAAAAACCAAAAAGAAGTTTCTGACAGCCAGGCACCATTTGGAATAGTATTTCCAGATGTTACTCTGCTGGCAATTTTCAGAATGTTTATATCAAAAGTAATCACAAAATAGATTAAAAAAACCCCAAAACAGTAGAAATCAAGGATTCTGGTGATCAGGCAGGAAATGCAGCCGGTATTTCCTACAGCAGGGGAGGACCAGGAAGATAATTCGAGGGATTAAGCACCTTTCCTATGAGGAAAGGCTGAAAGAATTGAGATTCTTAAACCTGGAGAAAAGAAAGCTCCAGAGTGACCTTGTTGAGGCCTTCCAGTACCTGAAGGGACTGCAGGAGGGACTTTGGATGAACCTGGAATGACAGGACAGGGGAAAAGGGCTTTGTTCTGACAGGTTTAAATTGGATACTGGGAATAAATCCCTCCCTGTGAGGGTGGGGAGGGCTCTGCATCGCTGGAAGTGCCCAAGGACAGTTTGGAGGGGACTTGGATCACCCTGGGATAGTGGAAGATGTGGAAATCAGAAAAGATGATGCTTTAGTGGATGTGCAGCAACGGAGTGAAATGTTCTGTGTTTTGGATAGAAAGCAATCAAAAAATGACAAATTGTGACCTGGAGAGAAAGCTTTTCAGCTGTAATTCACTTTTGAAACAAATTTAGCCAAGATTTGCTAATTTCCACATCTGTGTGAAGCCAGGCCTGTTTTGCCTGAATACAGGTAGATGGAGACTTTGTCCATAAGGAATTCTAAAAAGAGGGAATTTCTCACTGCGTTGTGGGTGTTTAACACATTTTCAGCCCCTCTGCAGCTCCTTGGGAAGGTCACAGCCACGTGTTACAATTTTTTCTCAGTTTGTTACACTTACCTTACTGCCTCTCTCAAAGGGTGTGGAAAAGGCCGAATATAATTTGTGAATTTAGTTTATTTTGCAAACCTGATGAGAAATGATAAAGTCTTTAAACTAAATGACATATTTTCATGCTCTATTTTTTTTTTTTTATTTTTTAATGCCTCTTGTTAAAACCCCTTAAAACAGTAGAAAACAAAACTTTGTCAAGAAATATTGTCTTGTATTTTGGATTCAGTGGAAGCTTTGTAAAGCAGGATTTGATTTATTTAAAACAAGACAGTGCTTTAATTACCACACTGATTAACACTCCGGTATTTTTTGCCTGCCTGCATTTTATCAAGGTGTACCTGAATAGAAAATAACTTCTTTATATGTAAGTGATTCATGGTACTGCATCCTCAAAACTTTCTGGGTCTCTGACTTTCACAACCCTGTTTGAAACAGATGAACTCTAAAAAGGCATCAGTTTTAGTGTTAATAGAAAAGAGGAGACAGTCACGCCGAGCTTCTTGCTGCTCCCCAAAGCTGCTGTGCGTGGCATTATAAAATATTGTGTTTCTCTACTGAGATGCCCCAAGGTGACCATAGAGGGAGTGACATGAAGGTTTCACTTGATAAACAGTGTTTTCTGTCAACGAGGGGAGGAGGGAGAACTTAGATATTATTTAACAATAGAAGAAAATTCACTTAGAATGAGAAATAGCTGGATTGGGGAAGAGGATGGCATAACACTGATGGTGGGAGCTGGTAGGTGCAGCTAAGACAAGAAATAAATGGCCAGATGGAAACCAAACCAATTTTGTCTCAGCTGAGATAACTACTTCAAGTATAAATGGGAAATTATAGGGAAAAAAGATCTGGGCATTCATAAATAGAAGTAGTATGTGAAAATCTTGATCTTGGATGCAAGAGCAAATTGTGCATTGAAACCTTAATAAACAGTGACTTCTGACTGGGGATGAATCTACAAATACTAATGTTCTGGTTTAACCCAGGGCCAGCCCAGCCACAGGGCTTTGTTCACCTCTTCAGGGCAGGCCCATTGTTTACAGACTGACATAAAATGTGCATTGTGTCAGGCAGTGCCACCACGGTGCCATAAATACCTGCTTGCTGCTGGTGATTACACTGTTCCAGCACACATTTCAGCTCAAGGCAAGCTGATATTTAATATAACCTGATTAATACACTTAATATTTATAGGTGTCACAGGCCTCTGCTTTGACTGCAGAGATTTGAGTGTGAAGCATTTCTTTGTTCTCTTAAATGTGAAAAAGGTGAGCTGGTTCAGAACAGGTTTTGAATAGAAAAGGATTCACACAAGTGAATGTTTTAAATAATTTTTTTTTTAAATTGGTTGCTTAGCATTTCTTGTCAGCTAGGTGTACTATGTGAATTAGAAGTGGCAGAAGTGCAACAGGAACAGAGGTCTTTCTGAGCTGATCCTGTGTGCTAATATTTTTTTCCTTTAATCCTTTGCAGTTTGGGGGAAATTAGATAGGTTTTACCTTTATAGTTCCATTACTCTTACCTGTTGCAGTAATTTTGCTGTATTTACCTACAGAAGCAGCTGGTGCATTCCTAGATTAATATAATAATCTCTTTGTAGCTGTCAGTTCATACCTCTGTAATCTGACAAAATAGATTCCTGCTCAGTCTCACCACACGTCAGTTGTGCCTCTGATGAGGAGAGTTTCATCTCGCTGCTCTAGATCATCTTTGTGATGCCTTTCAATGGAAGATACCCTCTTCTTTCTGATACAGTTTGTCAATTCCACGACCCATGGAAGATGGAAATCACAGTTCATCATCCTTCAAGCATCATATTTCATGTTTGCAACCAGTTATTTCTGAGCGTCACAGCAGTCTTGGGTTTAGTAACTGATATCGCTCTCAAGATCAAGAGTGGAAGATGTTTTATGTAGAAGTAAATATAGGAAGGTAGTTGAAATTACAGACAGATTAGATTTGTAGTTTTATGTGCATCAGAAAGTCATATTAATGAAATCTTTGTTGC